GATGGAGTAGTGATAATACGCTCCAGCAAGAGGACTGGAGTTTGAATCCCCAGAACCTATATGGATGCTGGGGGAAGTTGGGGAGCTACCAACACGGGTCACCATGTCTGGCTTGCACAGGGAATTTCAGTAACTAGACGGAACCACCCAGACCAGTCAGTTTATCTAGAGCAGTGAATCCTGCTGACCCCATTTTCCAGAAGGGAGACTGAGGTTTGGAGCATTGATATCCCTTGTTAAGAGTCCCATGCCAAACACACGGTGGTGATATGCTTTGAAGCTGGCAAGGAAGTTTTCCTTCCATGACTTTTTTTTCTTAGTTTTAGATTTATATATTTTATATGTATTAAGTGATTTGCTTAAGTGAGCACATGTGAGCAAAACACTCAAAGACATAAAATATCTTTTAAAAATGTCTAAAGTGTACCACATGCATTACCCGGTGCCCTCGGAAGTCAGAAGAAGGCATTGACTCCCCAGGAACTGTAGTTACAACCGGTCGTGAGCCACTGTGCAGGCACTGAGGATTGAACCTGGGTCCTCTGTGAGAACACGTGCTCTTTACTGCTGAGCCATCTCTCCAGCCTCTGTCCATCCAGGGCTTTTGTCCTGGTGGCCTCTCTGTGTGTGTGTGTGTGTGTGTGTGTGTGTGTGTGTGTTTGGGGTCAGCGACTCTGGGGTTGAGATCTGGGTGGGGAGCTCCTGGGGTGTGAGATATGTCTGTGCCTGCCGATGGCGGGCCAAGTAAGATGATCTGGTCACTGAAGTTAGAGCTTAAGAATTACAGCCTGCGCTGGGCGATGGTGGCGCACGCATTTAATCCCAGCACTTGGGAGGCAGAGGCAGGTGGATCTTTGTGAGTTCGAGGCCAGTCTGGTCTACAGAGCGAGACCCAGGAAAGGCGCAAAACTACAGAGAAAACCTGTCTCGAAAAACAAAACAAAACAAAAAAAACCAAAAATCAAAAAACAAAACAAACAAACAAAAATTACAGCCTGCACAATAGGTGACACTCTTTTTTTTTTTTTTTTTTTTTTTTTTTTTTTTTTTTTTTTTGATTTTTCGAGACAGGGTTTCTCTGTGTAGCTTTGCGCCTTTCCTGGAGCTCACTTGGTAGCCCAGGCTGGCCTCGAACTCACAGAGATCCGCCTGGCTCTGCCTCCCGAGTGCTGGGATTAAAGGCGTGCGCCACCACCGCCCGGCTAATAGGTGACACTCTTACACTTACTTTTTATTATTGTGTGTGTGCATGATGTATGTGTGCGCTCATGTGCCACGATGTGTGCAAGAAGGGGAGAGGGCAGCTTTTTGCAGGTGTGCCTCTCCTTTTGCCTTTGCGTGAGATCCAGGAATCACATCCACATGGCCAGGCTTGTGCAGAAAGCACCTGTACCAGCTAGGCCACTTGAGGCTCTTTCTGGGGACACTCTTAAGTCTACCAGACAGGTGTCACCCCCCCCCCCCAAAAAAAAAAAACCTTGGTACTGGGTATAAAGCTCAGTGCCTTGCACATGCTGGGCACGAATTTGATTGTTGAGCCACACCCCCAGCCCCTCACTGGGGGATTCTAGGCAGGGGCTCTACCACTGAGCCACACCCCCAGCCCCTCACTGGGGGGTTCTAGGCAGGGGATCTACCACTGTGACATGCATCCAGGCCCCCACGAGAGGATTCTAGGCAAAGGTTCCACAATTGAGCTACATCCCTAGCTCCATTTTTTATTTGTTTATTCATTTTACTTTTTTATTTTGAGACAGGGTCTGGCTGTGTAGCCCAGGATGACCTTCAATCTCCAATCATCCCACGCTAGCCTCTCCATAGCTGGGATTACAGGCAGTTTCTTTGATTTTTTTTTTTTTTCAAATAACTCCCAAGGCTGGATTTTCTTCCAATCTCTTCACTGGAGTCCTCTTGCTCTGAGTAACCTCCTTTCCCTCCAGTGACATTTGTCAGCCAGCCAGGTTTCCAGACACCAGCCAGAAAGGCCACTAGTTCCTGCCCCCGCCCCCAATGCCCCTAACAACAAGGTTTGTTTGGTCTGTTATCACCTGTCATGCCCTGGTATAGTCCTCCACCACTCTGAACCTGTGTCCTCTCTGAATAAGGCATCCTCCATAGAATCTGTCCACACCGTGGAGCTGGCCTCCCTAGTTCAAATCATAGTCCTGCTTCTTCTTAGCTGAGTGATCTTGCCCAAGTTCCCAAACCTCTCTGTGCTTCAGCGTTCATTTGAAAGATGGGTAACAGAATCGGAAGTATTCACTGACCCATGTCCAATAGTTTCCATAATACTTCTTGGCACCATAAATGTTAGCCGTGATTATAATTTATTGGTATTTTTACATCACAGCATGTTGGGAGAATGAGATGGAATTGCATGTCTGACATTAAGCAATGATATGCTAGCCATTATGACATTATCAATATCGTTATTGTCATGCGTGCATTTAGAAGCTGGGGACACAGAGGCGCAGAAAGAGGGAGAGGTTGGCCAAGCATCCCACAGCCACCACGGTCCTCCACTGAAAGGAACTAACAAATCTGAGATCAAAGTCACCGACATTTGCCTTGCTCCAGACTATTTCTCTCAATAGAGGACCGCTTTTTTGTATCTCCTGGCCTCAGTTTCCCCAGATATGGTCTGGAGGTAGGGGAGGGTCTGCAGGTTACAGTCCCTAAAGACTCCACTTAGTTTTGCCACTGTAGAAGGAAACATGAAATCCCAGTGATTAAGTCTTGGTGACCTGCAACCAATCAGTCCAGGGTTCAATAAATTCTGGATCTGCCTCTTAGGAGCCCTGTGACCTTGGATAAGCTGTTTCATCTCACTGAGCCTCAGTTTCCCTCACTGGCTAACACACACACACACACACACACACACACACACACACACACACACACACACACACCCCACACACACACCACACCTCCAATACTCCAATTCAGAGTGTTGAATTGAGAAATTCACCTGGATCTCAGAGCCTGCCACAGCAGCACTGGAAGGGACGGTCACCAGCGGCCACGCACGGCAACTGCCGCCTAGCCAGATCTGGGTCCCTGATCCTTACTGAGACTGGCATCAGCACCAGGGCAGGAAGGAAGAAAGGAAGCCGGCTTTGGACATTTTCATGTTTGTGCTAGGGGTGGGGGCAGGAAGACAGGCAGGAAATTCTCTCTCACCCCTCCCCCAACTTCCCTTTCCTTCAATTTCTGCTGAGCACCCTCCCAGGCATCCCAGGGAACTTGGAATCCTGTCCCACCTGGCTTGAGGTGAGGGGGCCTGGGGAGAGAGAAAGAAGGAAGGGACTCCCGTTAATTCCAGGGGAGGCATGGGGAGTCGGCACCTGACTGCTGCTGAGCCAAGCTGGAGGGAGGTTATATGCGCTCCTTGTTCAAACAAGATGAAGAGGGGGTTTGGGGATCACGAGGGAGAATCTGTCTATTCTGGGGGTCTCCTTCCTATCAGAGAGCCGGAGAGCTCTGAAGATCCTCGCTTCCCCCATGTCCCACTTGTTTCCTGTCCCCACTGGCATCGAGGACAGCGCCTCGGGTCCCCTGCTTAGCCTTTTCTGCTGTGCACACACACACACACCTCTCACAGACGGCACACACAGAGGGTCCGTTTTGTGCAGCCTACGCGTCTCCGAGGTATCTAACATGGAGCTGCCTCATACACACATGCACACCCATGCTGTCACCCCCTTGCATCTCCCCCCACCCCATCTCTGGTGTAACACACCCAGCTCTTCTACACACACCTCCCCGCGTTACACATCTACACACATTTGGGTGTCGCACATCTCCCGGATCCGGGGTGTCCCGAGCATACATCCCTAAGTCACTTGGAACTCCATTTTTCACTCTCCTTGTGAACACACCCTCAACGGGTTTCACCCAGCCACGAGCCCCAGCTCTCCCTCTTCGTACCCCCACCACCCCCAGTTACACACCCCCTCTGATGTCACCGTTGCACACCTCCATGTGTCACGCCCAACCATAGCCTCTCTGGAGTCACACCCACACCCTTTTTCCCTGTCACATCCCTGCACCAGCTTCTCCTGGTCCCACTCCACCCCATCCATTCGCACTGGTACCCCACCTGGTAGAACCCCTGTCCCCCCAGTCCACACATATTCTCATGGTTCACACCCAGAGTCCATCCTTTCTGCCTCCCTACACACACACCCTTGCACGTCACACACACCCCTCTCGCTCGTGTGTCGAGAGCCCCCTCCGGAGTGACAAGCACATCCCTTCTCTTGTCACACACCCACCCCGGAGGGTCTTGTGTTCAGCCCCGTCTTTCACATACATACTCACACCCCCTGCCCTGCCATATCCATGGTCTCTTCATGTCACATACCCAGGCCCCACAGGACCCTCACAGATACACACACCTGTCCTGCCCTTCCATCTTCCCCTCCAGCTTTACACACCCACCCGTTCCTCCCTGTCACCCAACACACCCACCCAGCTTGTCCCCACGCACGGTCCCGCATACTGTCCACACCCGCCCCTTTCCGGGACAGCCCTTGCTCAGGACATCCCCAGGGAGGGAGGTTCAGAAGCTCCCGGTCGGTCGGTCGGCAGGCCTGTCTCTACTCCTTCCCCTCCCCCAACCGGGACACGCAAACCCGGGGGAACACCCCTGCCCCAAAGGGTCACATCACACACCCCTCAAGGACACCCTGGCCCAGAAGGGACCCACGCCCCTCATCCGTAACTCCCCCCCACACCACAAGGACACTTACCACCCCCTCCCCCCCAGCCCCTCTCATCGCAGACAAAGCTCTCAGCCCCAGGGGCTTCAGCGACAAGAGAAAGGGGTCCGTCCGGGTCCCCAGCTCCTCGCGGAGGACCGCCCCTCCCCTCCCCGGAGCACTTGCACCTGCCAGCCAGGGATGGGGGGGGGGATGATGGAGGACGGCGATGCCCCCTTCGGCGCGCGATTCCTCCCCCCCCCCCACGCCCCACGCCACGGTCCCGCAGCCCTGCCTCACCTCCCGTGTTGCTGCGCTTGGTGCAGACCACCTCGGGGGGCGTCTCGAGGGGCCTCTTGCGGGAATCCGGGGCCTCGGGCTCCATGGGGGGGGCCTGGGGCGGCGGCTGCTGC